GATTGTTTTTTTTTTTTTTTGCTAAATGCAAATTCCGATTGTTGAGTAAGAAGAGAGAGCTTCACAATATTCGAGCTGCGTCAAACAGCTTGAGCATATGAACATTCAAAGAAAAGTTGATTGATAGATTCCTCACAAGAACAACATCGTCGACATTGCGCATCCAGAATGATTCCTCTGTGCTTCAGTATCGAAACAACAACCATTACATTTGAAAGCATTTTCCAGAGAAGATGATTTGTTAGCTCAATTGTTAGATTTCTTTATCAACCGTTTACTTTTACAAATGATTTGCTTTTGTTTTTTTATCAATTTTTTCACGGATTATCAACTCATGGTCTCGTTTACATTAGTATCAAAGAGTTATATTTGTAGTAAAAGATTTCATTTATCGCGCGGCGACGCGCGGGTTTGTTTCCTAGTTTGGTTAAAAGAAAAATGCACTCATTTCTTGTGGGCTCAGACGAAATTGGAAGAAATATTTGTTTTTCCTCTATGAATTCACCCGTCGCAGCCAAATAAGTACCGAACAAAATACAAAATGATAGTGAACTTTCTATAAAAAGACCTTCATGTTAGGGGAAAAAAATTATTACAAAACGGAAACGAATATGAACAATATTTCTATTTTTAGCCTATTGCCGAACGAGGAAAGGGAATAAAAAAAACAAAGGAAGAAATGGTAATACAATATGAGCTGAATTTAGCACCCCCTGTTTTAGTTGTTTTACCCAAATCTGTTGCACCAACAAACTAACACAACGAGTAAAACCGTTTAAAAATTCTGTACTACTAAAACCCAGAAGTTGCGCAATATGGAATACATTGAAAATAAAGAAAAGGCAATTAAGAATTGAGATTACAATAACTAGAAACCACGATGAGGATGAATCCCAAAACCCTAGTTACGAATCTTCTCATCCTTCTCCTTGTACAAATCGCAAACTTATCATTAGTCGTAAACTCATTAGAGAGGTACCATAAGAAAGACTACCGATCAGAGTTCACGGTACGGCCAAATACGGTTGTACGAATCGTCATATCCAACGATCTATATGGTCTGAAGAATGGAAACGCAGGTTTCGTATGCGCAAAGGGTAATAAGGTATGGATGAAAAGCAAACCAGGAGACCGGTACGTTGTTGTCCAATTCAAGTATGATGGTAAGTCGAGGCACACCTTCACGCATTGCCATCTCCGGTCTAATTTCGGGTTTGTGAATTTCCCTATCAGTATTCATCCGGACACATCTGCTCAGTGTTACCCTAACTACGTATGTGGTTACTCGGTTCGAAAAGATGGCGTCTTTTACAAGCCTGAGAACAGGCTCTATCGTTGGAAGAGGCAGTAGTGATGATGGTGACAATGCATGTGTACGTTGAAACATGTGTGTAAATTCCTTCAAGAGGCTTACTTTGTTTTTTTTTCTGTTTGTAAAATAAGAAATTTTTTTACTTAACCAGCAATTATATTTTTTTATATGATCTGGAACTTAATTCGAGATAAATAAAAAAATTAGAGGATGATTTGGAAAAAATGAAAGAGTGTGCACCGCTCCTAATGAACAGAATGTGTTGGTATATCATGGGCACAAACAGTAGGTTCACAGGTTCCAATTGTGAATGCCAATGTAATAAAGAGCCATACCACTACAGAGTAGTAGTGCAGATAATCACACCAATAATCAAATCTGCAACACAGAAGTTAGATTCTCTCCATGTGTTCATTACACAATATATTGCAATATATCAAATTTTGTTCAAATTTGTATTCCAGCTGTGTTCAATTTTTTTTTTCTTTCTTTCTGGCAAAGTGTTCATAACACAA